TTCCCGGATCCCTGACCTTGGGCCACAGACAGGAAGAGCTGGGGAGTCTACACTGAATCCTCAGAAGCCAGGGCCTCAGTAGCTGGACGCTGACAGTCCAGGGGGAGTTGGCCTGCCAGAGTGCCCCTGCAGACTACACTTCCCAGTTTTCTTTTTTTACATAGGTGTGGCCATGGGAGCAAGCTCTGGCCAGTGGGACATGAACATAGAGAACTCAGATAAGGGATGTGCCCCCCCCACTCCTTCTTGCAGAGGGTAGGTGTGATGGCAGGAGTGTCAGCAGCCATTTTGCTACAACTCTAGGAATAGAAGCCAACTGACGCATAAGATAGGAGAAACAGGCCCTGACACCATGCAGTCCCACACAGATGAGAAATCACTTTTCCATCTTAAAACCACAGTTACGTAGGGTTTCCTTTTATTTCTAACCAATACTATTCTTGCATCATGTACCATCTCTCAGATGGGGGGGGTTGTAATCAATTGCAGAATGGTTGAGGGGACACTGAATTGGATCCTGGACCAGGAAACATGGCTGCTTATTTACTAAAATGACATTACAAGGACGAGTGTGAATCTGAATCTGGGTGGAGAGGTTTGATCCATTGGATATAGTGTTAATAGGCAGCAGTGTTAATATTTTGACTTTGATATTTATCCTGTGGCTAAGCCTTGTTCTTAGGAAACAGACTCAGAGTGTTGGGAAAGGACTGTCTGGTCTGCAGCCTGCTCTCAAGTGGTTCTGAGAAGAAAACACAACCACAGAGAGGATAAGACAAGCTAAGAAAAATAGCAACAGTCAGGGTGTTGGGATGAAGGCTATGCTTGTGTTTTTGTTTGACTGACATAAAAAGTGACGGAAGAGAAAAAAAAGTCAGCATCCTGAAAGCAAAAAGGGTTGGGTCTGCAGCTCAGAAGAGAGAATAGATGGGAACAGCCATCATGATAGGTCCCAACCCAGTGACAACCCAGCATCCTGACATTAGTGAGACAAGAGAGGGTGCAAATAACAGCAGCACACCCATTTAGTGGCACTGGTGTCCTGGGTGTGTCCTATGAGGGCTCACAGAACGTCCTTGCTCTCTGGAGAGGCTCGCTAGACTGGGCAGAGTCAGATGTCCACAAACCTCATGAGGCTTGGCAAAAATGTATTTACAGTGGAGTGAGGGGAAGGAGGGAGCGCCTGAGGACTCTAAACAGCCTGGATTGCACACAGGTTCCTTCATGCACAGATCTAGGGAATCCTGGGGCCATGGGCAGGGGCAGGGTTACTGGGCTGTGTCCCTTCCTTAGCCCCTCAGGCCTCTCCCAGATCTCTAAGCTTCTCTCACTCTCTGGCCACTAGAGGTTTCTGTGTGGACCTACTAGAAAATGCTGTTTCAAGCTCCTTGAAGTGTGTAAGTGGTGAATTAAGCCCCAGCTGGTTCTCTCCCACCCCTGCTCTGGCTTCTGGTCTGCCTGAAGCTGTTTTTTCTGGAATGCACACCCTCTGGTGTTTCCCAGGGGTCATCAACCCTGCTGGGCCTCCTCCCTGAGAATAGTCCATTAGGTGGTCTCTGCTGCCCTCCAGTGGCCACCACCTGTAAAGTCACCACCCCTCTGCAGAGTCTTAGAGAGGTTCAGACTTCTGCTGCCCTCCGGTGGCCACAACCCATAACCACACTTCCCTCCTCTAGGGTCTTAGAAAATTCAGGTCTCTGCTTCCCTCTGGTGGCTGCTGCCTGTAACTGCACCACTCTTTTCTAGGATTAGAAAAGTTCAGGTCTCTGCTGCCCTCCCGTGGCCACTGCCTATAACTGCACCATCCTCCTCTAGGGTCTTAGAAAAGTTCGTGTCTCTGCTGCCCTCTGGTGGGCACCAACTGTAACTACACTACCTTCCTCCAGGGCCTTAGAAAATTTTGGGTCTCTACTGCCCTCCGGTGGTCACTACACATAACTGCACCACCCTCCTCTAGGGTCTAAGTTTGGGTCTCTTCTGCCCTCCGGTGACCACTATCTACTTGCACCACTCTCCTTAGGGTCTTGGAAAAGTTCAGGTCTCTACTGCCCTCTGGTGGCCACTGCTTATAACTGCACCACCCTCTACTAGGATCTTAGAAAAGTTCGGGTCTCTGCTGCCCTCTGGTGGCCACTTCCTGTAACTGCACCCCTCTCTCCAGGGTCTTAGAAAAATTCAGGTCTCTACTGCCCTCCGGAGGCCACAACCCATAACTGCACCACCCACCTCCTCTAGGGTCTTAGAAAAATTCAGGTCTCTGCTTCCCTCTGGTGGCCACTGACTGTAACTACACCACCCTCTCCAGGATCTTAGAATAAGTTCAGTTCTCTGCTGCCCTCTGGTGGCCACAGCCCATAACTGCACCACCCTCCTCCTCTAGGGTCTTAGAAAAGTTCAGGTCTCTGCTGCCCTCTGGTGGCCACAACCTATAATTGCACTGCCCTTTTCCAGGGGCTTAGAAAAGCTTGTGTCTCTGCTGCCCTCCGGTGGTCACTGCCTATAACTGCACAACCCTCCTCTAGGGTCTTAGAAAAGTTTGGGTCTCTACTGCACTTCAGTGGCCACTACCTGTAACTGCACCACCCTCTAGGGTCTAAGATTGGGTCTCTATTGCCCTCCGGTGGCCACAACTCATAGCTGCACCATCCTCTACTAGGGGGCTTAGAAACGGTTGGATATCTACTGCCCTCTGGTGGCCACTACCTGTAACTGCACCACCCTTTTCCAGGGTCATAGAAAGGGTTGGGGGTCTCTGCTCCTCTCCTGTGGCTTCTGCCTGTACTTGCCTTTGCCTCAAATGGTTAGGAACCTGACAGTCGGTCCCATCTTAAAACAGTTAAAGTTCCAGATAAAGAAAAGATCCAGTGGAGATTTAAGGAAACTATTTTTAGGAATTATTATTAAGTTATTATTATATAATAAAATTTTGTAAGCTATAAATAATAAAATTATAGTTATTTATTAAAATTATTATTTTAAGAAAATTAAGCCTGGAATCCACAAAGGGAGCTGGGAATTCGTGTGGGAGGCAGAATTTCTACATCTTAGAAAACCTGAGTTCCCACTGACATTGTTTCCTTGACTTAAAACCACTGACTGGGGCTGCTAATTCTACCACACACCTTCACTACAGCACGCAGAAATCATTGTCTGATGAAGTGAATGGAAAACATAACCCGCCTGAGTTAATACAGAAAACAGACCCTCAAGCCTGGTTCACAGAAAACATCTCTGAAAGTAAAGTTTCATCAAATTATGTTGTGCTGCTGACTTCCAACTCCTCCTTACAAAATAAAGAACTCCACCCTTTGGTAAGGAAGAGCTGTGTGGCTTCTGAGGGTGACTAGTGGGTGACACAGACTTCACAGCACAGGCTCCAGCTAGAGCAGCTTTGTTCCTGGACTTTAGCTGTGACTGTCACGAGGATGCCTGCAGGAGTCACTAATATAGTTGGCCAGACAGAGATGGAGGCCAAGGGAGAGGGAGCACTGTACATTAAGATAGACTTGAGCCTAGGGATTAACAGAGCTTTTCTCCAAAGTTGTGAGGATCGAGGGATAAGAGGCTGTACAGGACAAAGCTTGCACTGCGGGTCCCATCACAAGTGTTAAACAGTTGGGAAAGGACAGAGCCGAATAGGTCTGGGGTACTGCAGAGACACTGAATTCCATTCTGAGTTTGTGGGGTGGGAGCAGGGTCCTACTGGGGCTGCCCCTGAGCAGTGGGGTATTTGCAGTGATGCTGGGGTGGTGTGGTATGGCGTGTCCTCTCGTCCCCCACCCCTTCCCAGGGTCACCAGGGAGAGAGGTGAAAGCCAGTACAGGACTGCATCCAGGTTCTGAGGGTTAATTAAGAGGCAAAGGGCTGGGACCAGAGTCAGTAGCATGGGGTGCTGGGGAAGGGGCAATAGAGGAAAGTCTGCTGGTTTGCAACATGCACCAGGAAGGCGTAGGAGAGGACAGAGTCGGTGGGGGGGGACGTCTGTAACAGGGAGGGATTCACTAACACTGATGCACCTCTGGACACCAAAGAGCCCTTAGCAAGGTTGGTGATGAGGGAATCAGCAACCCCTGGGGTGCTCAGAGGGGTAGACACAGGCCATGAGAATGCCAGTCCCAGTGGAAAGGGTAGGCTCAGAGCTGGGGGGGGGGGGGGAGGACAGAGAATGTGGCAGGACAGCCAGCCTGTGGGGACCAGACCAGCTGTGGGAGCCCAGGTGGGGCCCTGGCACTGCTGTGACAAATGTCCACAAATCTGGGGCTTCAACAATAGAGACTCAACCTCTTACATGCTGGAGGCCGGAGTCCCAGTGACTGGGCCTGGTTTCTGCTCTTCAGGACATCATGATGGACAGCCTGGCCGTCAGTGGACAGCACTTCATCTGGCACGTTTCAAAGGTGTTGTGTTTTCTTTTGTGCTATGGTTTTGCTCTCTCACTGGGCAGGCAGTTCTATTGTGAGGGGGAAACAGTAAATGTGGCGAAAGTGCTGCAGGTGTTCCTTTCGCTGATGCCCCGCCCCCTCCACTCAACTGTAAGGTCCCAGGGGCCCCCAAGTTTGCTCTAGGCTTCCATGCCCCCACCTCTGGGGAAAGGGCAGCTGCCTTCCTGAGAGAGGTGGAGCCCCAGCCCAGCTCACAGGACCCTGGACAAGGAGGGCCCGACGCTCCAGCCCCGCAAACAGCTCTAAATAGAAATGCTTCCGCTTCCAGGGAACCCCAGTGCTGCCTGGCCCCACCGCACCTCCCTCTGGGACCCCTTGGTCAATACAAGGCTGGGCCAGGCCTTCAAACCCCCTGGGTGGGCAGGGCTGGGAGAGGCCGCCAGGCGACTGGCAAGGCTCCTCCCCCAGCTGCTGTGGGATGTCACGTTGCCCAGCAACTGGGTGGCAGCGTCCCTGGAGCCCACACCTGCACGCAGAGCTGCTGCTTCTCCCGCCTGGAGAGACTCCTGGGGCCGTGTCCTCAGCTCCCGAGCCCAGGACAGCAAGCACCCTGTCACAATGAATGTCGTCCTCTCCAGGTGAGGGGCCCTCTGGCCCAGCTGGGGATTTTGGGTTGGGGTGCACCAAGTGGGGTGCAGATGGGTGGCTGGGACTGCCAGAAGAGCAGTGGTCAGGGGTAGGGGAGGACTGGGCTCCGGAACAGGGTGGCGGGAAGATCTGGCCTCTCCCTGCTTCCCTAGCATCTGGGCCCACAGCTCTGGGCCGCAGACTCAAATTCTGCCCCTCCTTCCCTGACTGCCACACCCAGAAACCCCCTGGTGTGCCTCAGAACAGGACGCCACCCGGGGAGCTGACCTGACCCGACTGAGTTCAGCCACTTCCTCGTGTCTTTCCTGTCTGGCTCCTCTGAGGCACCACTGAGGGGCTTCTGGGAGTCCCTCAACAAGGCGTGTCCTCTCTGGGCCTCTGTTTCCTCAGTTTTGAGTTGGTGGCGGGAGTAGACCTTCTAGGAAGTCCCTGTGGAGGCTGTGAGTGGCATGGAGTCTCCTCACATGGGAAGTCCTGGCTTTGGGGGTGATCAGAGGTCTCAGTGGTGGCTTCTGTCAAAGGGAGCAGGGCTGACAGCCAGGGGGAGAGCTGAGACTGCTCAACGCCTGTGGGGGGTCGGGGGAAGAGGGAGTGCAGGCCACAGGTGGGGCAGAGATGAGCTGGGCAGATGGAAGTTGCGGAGGGAGAGCAAGTGGAGATGGGACTTTGGGGCCTGCAGAGCCTCTGTTCTGGTCCAAACCCAGAGGGTCTCTGCGGTCGCTGTGGCTTCAGCGACTGGCATGCTGACGGCGCTGCTGGGACCTCCTGAGACAGGCGTCACCCGCAGATGCCGCCCGAGGAGGGGCTGAGCAGGGGCCTGTGGGGCCCCCGTCTGTCACCCTCAAGCTTGCCCCCTCCCCAATGGCCTATTCGCTTTTAAAAGTCTCAGGGTTTAGCGAAGGGAGAGGATTCCCACCACTTGGGGAAAGGGAAGAATGGGGGTTACAGGGTGGGGGTGGCAGATGGAGACCTGCTCTTGCCTGGCCCCCCCGCCCCACCCCCCACCTAGTTTCAGTCGGCAGGGGAGGGCAGAGCTCACCGGCCACCCCACTGGTTCCCCGAACCTGCTGCCGAGTGACCAGGGCTGGGAGGAGGCGAGGGGTGGCGAGCTGGCCCCTGGCCGCCCTTGAGCAGCCCTTGGGCCCGGCCTCCCCAGGGACAGCCAGGTACGGGTGATGGAGGACACAGTGACCCACGCCGAGAAGTACTTTGGCCAGTTCTGCACACTGCTGGCCTCCTACACACGCAAGACGGCCCGGCTGCGGGACAAGGCTGACCGACTGGTCAAGCAGCTGCTGGACTTCGCCAACACTGAGAACCCCGAGATGCGGGCCGCCATGAAGAACTTCGCGGAGGACCTGGCCAAAGTGCAGGACTACCGGCAGGCCGAGGTGAGGCCAGGGAGCAGGCGGTGGGCAAGCACTCTGGGCCTGCTCCCGTCTGTGGCGTGGAGACCGTGGCCCACCGGCTGAAGGGCGGCGAGCGAACCAGGGATGAGACTCAGCCGGGGGTTACCGTGGGGCCGGCCAGCAGCTTCAGCTTTGCCTGGGACCTGTTGGAATGGAGGTTTTCGCGCCCCGGTCTGAACCTACCACTGGGTGAGGGGTGTGGGGTGCCCGGCAATGGGCATTTTGGGGGGCTGTTGGCGGGGTGGTGGCGCTCCTATCCCTGCTGACCCCGACAGCGCTGGGCGCAGAGTGGGGACTGAGTCTCAGCTTTGCTTCGGCACCCTGTGCCTCAGCGGCCCCACGAGCACACACACTCTAGCTGTGCAGGTCGAGGCCGAGCAGCTCCCGCTCTCTCTGGCTCCACCGCTCCCATTTTCTGCGTGTCTGTGCCCCCAGGTGGAGAGACTGGAGACCAAGGTGGTCAGCCCCCTGAAACTTTACGGGGCACAGATAAAGCAGACACGGGTGAGCAAGGGGCTGAAGGTGGGTGGGCAGCAAGAGCGGCCGGGCCTGTCCTTAGGGTCAGCCCTTCCCTGGCCTGCAGGCGGAGATCAAGAAATTCAAACGTGTCCAGAGTAACGAGATCAAACAGCTGGAAAAACTGGAGAAACTGAGGTATAAGTCACCATCAGACAGACAAATGATCGTATCCTTCCGGGAAGTGGGCCTGGCCTGCCGGGACCAGGGTGGCCATTTGTCACAGGGGCCTCCGGGTCCCCACAGGGCTAGTGGCCACCAGACTCCTTAACAGTGCGGTCTCCAGTCACAGGTGAGTGTCACAGGTCGGCCTGACCCGCATGCAGGTAAGGAAGCACTCGCCAATGCGGTGAGCTGAGCTTCACCTGGGCAGGTGAGTGTAGCCCGGGACAGGTGAGGGGGAAGTCAGGAGAGCGGGGCTGTGGGCCGGGGGCCTGTTTCTGCCCGGCCTGGTCTCTAAGCAGCAGGCACTGAGCCTCTCCCGTTTCCTGCTGGGCTGGCTGTTGACGGGCGCTTCTGGAAGGGGGACGCCAAGGCTGAGTAGGGCGACTTGCCCAGGGTCACACGTGGCAGAGTCGGAACCCAGCGCCCGTGAGATCCAGGTCCTTCCCGCGTGCCTGGCGTGGGGTCGGCTTCTCCCCTGCGGGTCCACTGCCCACACCGTCCACAGTGGGCTTACTGATCGCGAAGTGGGCACAGCTGCTGGGCTGACAGCCGCCTGCCCGGCTTAATTCCTACAACAGGCCTGCTGAGCAGGTCTTACTGCTGCCCCCGGGCAGAGGCGAGGCAGGGGAGGCCGAGGGAGGCTGAAAGCCTCTCCCAAGGTCACCGGCCAGAGCAGGTCTGTCCAGGCAGTGTCTGCTTCTTACTCCGCGTCCTACACGGCCGCACCTTTGGTGACCAAACTGGCGAGAGGCACTGATGACACAGGAGAGCCACCCCCAACGGGCAGGGGTGTCGAGAATGACCCCGACTGAAAACGCCCCAACATTTCCACCTCCCGTGTCCTCGGGTCCAGGCGGAGAGCAGTGTGCAAAGGGCCTCAGTGGATGCCAGGCGTACGACCCACCAGCTGGAGGAGACGGTGGACGCCTTCCAGAAGCAGAAGCTGAAGGACCTGCAGGTCAGGTGGCCGCGCCGTGCTGCTGCGTGTGTGAGGGCGTGTGTGTCTGCTGTGAGGTTGGGTGTGGCCGTGTGCACGTGTGTGCTGGGTCCATGTGTCTGCCGGCTGTGTGTGTGCACATGCATGGGAGATGGGTGGGGGCGTGGGGGCGGACGCGTGTGTGTGCGGCCTTGTGCTCCCGTGGCTGTGAGAGCCAGACTCGGGACAGTTAATCCTGGCCTAATCCCTGCCTCGGGCAGGAGGCCGGCTGCTGGGCAGCTGTCAGCCCAGCTGGCCCGCCTGGCAGCGTGTTTGGTCGTCCTGCCTCTCAGCGCCGGGCTCAGCTCCCCACCGGCAGCACTTGCAGTCTGTCCACCCCAGGGCCCCCAGGGAGAGCCAGGACGGCCTCCTTTCCTCCTTCCACCCTGCCCCTGCCCCCGCACTGCCAGAATCTTTACCCCAGAGCTGCAGCCCCGGTAAGGAACTCTGGGGCCTTCAGGTCTGCCGACCTCAGAGACTCCTAGCCCCTTCTAGTCCATTTTCTGAAATGAAGCACACATTCCCAGAGCAGCTTCCCAAAGGGGGCTCCCTCTGTTCCTCCTGGGGGTCCCTGGTCCTAAGTAAAAGCCATATCCTTCCCCAGCCCCCGGAAGCCCCAGTTCTGCCCAGCAGCCTCGTCTTGCACACATTACTCTCTCACAAATGCCACACCCTGCTGAGCCCCAGGGCCTGGCACAGGCTGTGCCCTCTGCTGAGAAGGCCTGACCTTGCTGTGTGTTGAGTTAGCTCCTCCTCCTCCTCCAGGGAAGGCACCAGAACCCTCAGGCCATCTGGCCCCTTGGCGGTGGGCTCTGCTCTGCGAACACTTTCCGTTACCAGCTGTCAATCTAGTGTGTAGACCTACTATGTGCCTGGGCTGGGGGCACCACGGCCAGCAAAGCGAGGCCCCTGGCTGCCTGCAGGCTCCCCGGCTGGGTCCTGGCACTGGGCGCAGGGACTGGCATTTGGCTGGTACTCAGCAAGTGCTTAGGAGATGAGTGAGGCAACAGGCAAACGCACACATGACTGAAAATGGGAATTGGTACGCACGCACCCTTGCAGACCAGGCCGAGGCCCAGCATGGTGATGAAGCACTGCTGAGCAGAGTCCCAGGGCGGCCTCCAGCCAGACAGATGCCCGCTGCAGGGTCAGACGCGCGCGGTTCAGAACGGGCGCCCTTAAGCTTGCGGGGTAAGGCTGTCAGCGAGGCTTCCCCAGCCAGCCCCCAGAAGCTTCACATTTTCAAAGCGATAAAAACCGATTGGCTTTAGGTTACATTTCTGGAAAATGACCGTATTTTCTAGATAGTTCTTAGAAAAAAACACAAGCCACGTTTCCTACCGAGTGTTGGCGGGTCTGCCTGGCGGTGCATCCGAATTCACCTGGAGGGCAGCAGCCGGGGGAGAGGGCCCTGGAGTCTCCTCCAGGGGTCCAGGCGGCTCCGGTGGGGAGGAACTGGGGACCAGACTGCTTGCGGCAGCGCCTTGCCGATGGAAGGCCGAGCCTGAGAGCAGGCATCCCGGCCTCAGGCCAGCGAGGGGCAGGAAAAGGCCATGCTCCCTTCGCCTTCACTGTTGATACCCCTGTGCTAGGGGGTGAGAGGGCAGGAGGCAGGTCTCTCCAGCCTGGGCCCCGTTCTTCTGCCTCCCAGACTGCTTTGGGACTTCCTCCGAGCCCCTCTTCCCACCAGGTGCTTCCCATCTTGCTGAAGCACTCTGCTTCCCAGCGCAGGCTCCAGCCCCAGCCCCGCCCCCTGGCGGCCAAAGCAAAGCAGTGGCCTCCACCAGGGCCCATGCAAGGGGCTTGTGCTAGGCCCTGCAGGCAGTGGAAACTGATGGTAGCTTATGTAAGGCCCAGCCCCCTGTGGGACCAGACAAGCAGCCGGAGTCTGTAGGAACTTGCTGTGCTGGGCCAAGTCAAACCATCAGATCAGGAGCAGCCAACATCTCTATTACTTAATTGTGGTTGTGGGGCCTCTGGGCTAAGCAATGGCTCACCCCGACACACACCCACCTCCCTCAAGAGATTCAGTCACAGCCCGTGGGTGACAGACTGAGGTTTTGCAGCCATCAAACTGCAAACACCTGTCTTGGGAGTGAAAGAAGCAGACAGTGCTGAATTAAGAAAAGGGGTCAGAATTAAGAAAAGGCTACTCCCCTCTCTAAGTCTAGAACATTCTAGAACAACTCCTGTGGGGCAGCTTTACATGGGAATACATTATCTGTTCAATAGAAGTAGCAGGCTGACCTAGGTCTCTCCCCAACCCCCTCATACGAGTTTGCCCACTGTCCAGGCCACCCAGGACTCGCCTCTGTGTTGTGATGTAACTTGCCTTCCCTCTCCACAGAAAATATTTTTGGACTTTGTCACCATTGAGATGGTCTTCCATGCCAAAGCTGTGGAGGTGTATTCCAGTGCCTTCCAGACGCTGGAGAAATATGACCTAGAGAGAGATCTGGAGGTGGGACACCCTTGTTCTCTTTGGTGTGAGGGCGGGTGTGGCCTGATCCCACAAACTGCTCTCCCTATGCTGTATCCTCTCTACTTGTCTTGATGCCCCCAACCACCCTGCCTCCCCCACCCCCCCTCCAGGATTTTAGAGCCAAGATTCGGAGTGTTTGTGGGCAGCCTGACACTGCCTGGCCGCTCTCAGGCACCAGCCCACCCCCCACCGTCCCGAGGCTTCTTGTCAGCCAGGTGAGCAGCTTGGGGGTGGGTGTCCAGCTGGTGCAGAGGCAGGTGACCGGGGAGGTGGCCACAGCAGTCCTGAGGCCAGGGCCGCTGAGCCTGGACCTGCACTGGGGTGCTGGGGCGGGCCTCCGCCTGTGAGGGCTGCCCTGGCCTGCTCCGGACTTGGCTCATCTGGAGTCAGTAATCCAGACAGATATCCCAATGTGTTTTGAGGGGCTGCTTCCTATCGAGGAATGCCGCCTGGAGGCCCCCCGGGTAGTTTCCAGGTGTGCAGTGGAAGGCTCTGCCTCCCAGCCCCAAAAAGTGGAGTTCTGAGGATTTTGGCCAAGCAAAGTGGTGTTTTACACACAACACATCACCCAGCAGGCTGGGAATCAGGCCACCGGGTAAATAAAACTGAGCAGCCTTGGGCCAGTTAGGCCAGGTTGTCACCCAGTGAGTGGGGGAGGGGGGCCGGCCTATGGTGTATGGTGGGGGTGGTGGGGTGGCCTGGGTTTCCTGGCTTTCTGGACAATTCTCTGTGGGAAGCAGGGTACCCAGCCTGACTACCAGGATCCAGACCCAAGCTGTGTGATCTTGGGAAAGTTCCTAAACCTCTCTGTGCCTCGCCCGCAGTGTGGGGCTAGTAAGTAACCCTCACAACCTTGTGTTCAGTGACTGCATCTACGAGAAGCACTTAGGGAACCACATTACAGTTGACACCATTCCTGTTCCTGTCACTGGCATCGGTGACGCTGTGCTAATTACTTTCAGAGTGCTCAGAACACCAAGGAGAGCCAAAGGAAGGAGGCCAGTGAGGACGACTCTGCTGAGGAACACTCCGTGGAGGACCTGAGGGGACAGGGGCAGGGCCTCCATCAGTAGGATGTCCTTTGGACAGTGGGAGCTCAGTCAACACAGGGGGCTTGCTGTGCCCCCTACAAGTCACGTGTCCCGAGTGTTTCCTCATCTGTACAAAACGGTCTACACCACTCACGTCCCAGGAACGTGGCAGATCAAAGTGGCTGGTGCACAGAAGGTGCTCAATAAATGTGGCAGCCCGTGCCCCCATCCTGCTGCTCTGGTTTCCGACCTCCTGGTGGAACCCCTGGGTGTTACACGTTAGTCTATCCTAAACCAAAGAAACATCTCTCCCCAGCCAGGTCAGGGTGGTGGCATGGCTCCCTTGCGCTGAGGTGGGGCCTGCCCAGGGCCCTTCTCCAGTCCTGGGGCCTCTGGCATCCGTGATTCCTTGGTTTGTGGCGGCATCACCGCCATCTTGGCCTTTACTTCACACGAGATGCAGACCAGTCACACAGGAGGGCTCCACCCAAGTGACCTCATCCTACCAGACTACATCTGCAAGGCTGTCTCCAAATAAGGTCACGTCCAGCCGCTGGGAGTTACAACAGGCATCACGACCACGTCTGCTTATGTCCTCTATTTTCCACTACAAGCTTATGTATGTGCACACACGTGTACGTCTCAGCCTCAGCTGCACCCCCTGCCCCGCTGGGTTTCTGAACGCAATGGCCTTGCTTACTTTCTGTTCCCGGGCCCCCTGGTGCCTGGCACAGTTGGTGCTGATTAAATGTGAGCAGTTTGTGTGAGGCAGAAGCTGTAATCAGGCTCCCCAATTACCCTTGCGGTCCCCAAGTACAAGACAGCTTCAGCTCAGGAAAAGCAGGCTTAGGATCCCAGCGGGAAGTATTAGGAGACATCCTGGGGCTGGGACTGGGACCCAGCTGTGTGGGGGCCATTTCCTGCACCCAACCCCTCCAGGGGCATGGGGCTACTCAGGGCCCCCGGCCTACAGGGCACGGCTGCCCTTCTGGTTTCCCAAAAGAAACACGTGGACATAAGCCAGCTGCTCAGCCTGTGGGGGATGTCAGCTCTTTGACCTTAGAAAAGCCACTGATGTCATGAGATAATTGCCAATTCCAGAAAAAGCAGTCACAGATCTGTGAAAGCAAAAATGACAGACTGACCTTTTCTCTCTTTAAAAGGTAAATTTATTTCAGTTCCCACCTTCTGAGAGTGCAGGTGCAGGGCACAGCTTTGCTTCTGCACCATGACACAGCTTTGATTTAGCACTGCTCTGAGATCTGAGCTTTGAAACTTCCTCCACTCAAAATAGTTTTAGAACATGACCTAGGGGGACCAGAACTGCACAACTCAGGAGACCATGCCTCTGAGCAGGACTTCTGGACACCAAGGCCATGCCAGGATGCGATGCAGGCAGGCTCAGCTCCAGGAAGGGCTGGGTGCAGAGACAGCGAGCACACAAGCGTGTGTCGCTGAAAGCCCCCCAGAGCCAGGATTCATAACCAGGCGGTGGTAACCATGGCACCTATTTGAGGGAAGACATGCCCGTTGTTCTATTTCTAGCATTCAGTTGTTCAAACGCTTGACTTGTCTTGCACGGTGGCCCCAGGCTCGCTGGAGGATCACCCCACTCCAGGAGGGGGGCAGAACTGAGCCAACCCACACCCCAAGCAGGGAGGGGCAGCAGGGCCCCTCCCCAGGCATGGTGTGCCTCTATCTTCCATTTCCACCAGCACAACCTCTTCAAGGAGGGAACGGCCGGCCCCCCCCGGAGGGCTAGCCCCTGGCCAGAGGAACTTACTACAGGGGCCTCTTCCTAGTTCACGCGCGGACCCCAGCAGGGCCTCTCAGTGGTGTTCCAGGGCTGACCCTTGTCAAAACCGGAGTCTGCAGACGGAGCCAGGATCGGGGCTCTCCCAGACATACCGAGGGACGTGGGTACGTGGAGGAGTCAGGAGAGGGGTGAGCTAAGGGTGCGCTGGCTCCCCTGCAAATGATGGTGTGTCCCTTCCAATCCCGAGAACGAGGCCTCCCTTACATCCTGGGACGTGCAAGTCCCCGTCACGGGGCTGGATTGCTAGGAGCCCATGCTAGCCAACCTGGGTTCATAGGCCCGTGGCCAGAGGACAGGACAGAGTTTAACCCCCACCCCCGTTATCAGATACACTGGCCCAGGAATGGTAAGGGAGACCAGGGCCCAGAACGAGCCCCACATGAAGCGATGTCGGGGTGGCCCGAGTGTTGTGTGCACTCTGGGTGTGAACAATCTGGAAAGACTCACCCCTGCCCATCCCCCATTATCCTGAGACCAGCACATTTCTGTTGCCAGACACGTGGGTTACAATGCAGGGGAAAGTCTGGCTTGGCGAGTTCTGCCAGGCTCTGGCACTGCACGTCAGTCAATAAGGGCACTGCCAGCCCACTTAACCTAAAACTCAGCCATAGGCTCTTTAAGGGAAACATCCCCGTCTTAAGAATAAAAGCTTTATCAGGAAAGAGGGCTTTGTGGCTCCAGCCAGTGGCTTCTGATGTCAAGTGGAGAAATACGACAGACTAGCTAAGGCCACCACCAGCTGGCGCCCTCCTCAGTGCACCCCTCCTCCTCCCTCTGCCTCCTACACCCCCAAGGTGGCAGGCAAACTGCTTCCTCCCCAGAGGCTGAAGCTTCAGGTCACTGGCTGTTAAGGGCTGCTGTCACGGCACACCTCTCTGGCTCCTTTCTCAGAAGTCTATGAGGCAGCCACTGCGGCTCCCAGGAGGGCCAGGCCTGCCTCGAGAGGCCCCACTTCTGGCCACCTGCCTTGAGAGGCCCCAGGTCCTGGTCACCTAGGTTAGATGAAGCCTCTTAAAATGAGCTCAGTGCTCCTAGCACTCAACTAACCACTCACACAGTATGTGGAAAGTCTGCCTTGTGCCTGCAGCCTCCAATTTGCACCTGTGAACCCCAACATCGGCTGGGCCTGGAGAGGAAAGTACAAACCTAGTGGCTTCGGCTCCAGAGAGGGACACGGACAGGGCAGGGAGACTTGCCTTATGGGTCCGCTGCTCAGCCAGCACACCCCAGGTTTGGATTTGGGCATAGAACTCAGGAATTGAAATGTTCTTTGTCATTTAAAAGCTCAGGCCACTTTTTCCCCTTTGGTAACAGGAAACTGCACCCTGTGCCGTTTCACTATGTAAGTAACAGGCAGCCGGGGTCTCTCGCTGCGATGTGCACACGCAGATGTGCTCTGCGTGAACATGCTTGCGCCCCGCCAGGTTGCTAAACTGGTCGGTGCACCCCACTGGCCTGTTCTCCCACTCTCCAGGCGAGCTCTTGGGAAGTAACTGGGGTTGTGGACCCGCTGGCTCACTGGCCTTGGGCACTCGCCCTGCTGGCACCGACTCCTCCAATACCAGGCAAAACTGCTTGCCCTGAGCCCCATGCCCCTGGGTCCTCAAGGTGACCCTGCACACCCTGGAGGCCCCCAAGCCGGCAGCTCCCGCCTGCATCCACCAGGCGCCCCTCACAACTGCTCGTCCGGGCTTTGGAGGGAGAGAGGAAATCCCTAACAGAAGTCACACCTCTGGAACATTAAAATTAATTGTTCCAAAGTTTAATTAAAAACACAATTTACAAATATTTAGTATCTTCTGAAAAGCATTTCCAAGTTTAGAATGAAAAAGAATATATACACGATATGTAATCAAATGCAGTTTAGCTTCAAACCCCATCAGGTCCACACGCAACCACATCAGTCTTTCTAGGGTCTTCAAAATCTGAAAGAAGAGAGAGGCCACTTCATTCGGGTTAAAAGTGCACAGGTATCACTGTAGCTTTTAAAATTATTTTGGCAAGCATGTGAAATCTTTATTCTCTAGGCAAATGGGTAAAAACCTAAACATAGCTTATTTAAAACATCAAGAGACAAACTGGCAAATGTTCCTTGCATGGAGCAACAACAGCGCCCACCCACAGGGCCCTCCGCCCCCCGAGTCACCCGCACCCACCTGCCGTTAAGTCTACCAAGTGGCTCTCTACAGCAGGGGCGGGGAACGAAACCCCCAGCGCCTTCCGGACCCCACGCAGGCTCACAATATCCCCGGGAGTTACTTGCTGTGCAAGTTCTTTAAGATTATTGGTCACTTGTTCAGCTAGAAAGAAGAACATCAAAAACAGTTTCAGGCATTGAGATGTGGTTCTAATTTTAGTTAACAGAAAAAACCCAAAGAACAATAAATAACACAGATAATCAGCTGCCGATGGTCCTCCCTCCAGGACCGCTGCTCGCAAGGTTTTTCCTGTAAGCACCCCCATTCTCTTCTGGAGACACAACATACCGAGATGCATTTCTCTGTACGAGGGGCCCAAGAGACAGATCATGTTGGGGGGAGGCCTGGTGCTCAGCCGCTCGTTCTGGGCTTCCTGGAGCTCCCTGAGCAGCCTGGTGGTTTCGTCAAGTTTCCTCTGGAACACTTCAGCTTCTGAAGTGAGAGAAACACGAGCATGACATGCCTGCGCCTGTGCAGCAAAGTGAATGTATGTTCTAGGGTTTGGCTGTGTGTCGGATAGTCTCCTCAAAGGAAAAACCGCCCTCAAATGAATGGCGCCCAGACATGCTTTCTCACTTACGCGTGAAACTTTCTGGGGGGAACAACCACGTCAACTGTCCTGCAACCTGAACCCACAGCCGGGTCGTCAGGATCCCCTTCACAAGCTCTGGAGAGACTCACCTTCAGAGTCAAAAACTTCCACCGGGACACCGAAGCTTGTCACAGCCTTCAGTGCTGTGAGCCTGTCCTGACTAGTGGCGTCTAAGTGCCCCACTGGCTCGATTTCCATAACCTGCTATTAAAGAAAAGCAGTGACTTTGCGAAGCCATAAGAGCTAGAACGAGAAATTAGTAAATGGTTTGTGTTCACACAGGTAACTATTCCTCCTATTTATTTTGGTGTCATGATTTTGATGCCTACAAAAGTCCTCCTAGAGTCCTCTTATAATGCCATTCCCAAATCCTGGCAAAGTGTCCACAAACGTCCACTTTTCATTAACTGCCAGTGTAATCAGGCGTCCCTGACAATCTGCATCTGTCTGTCATGGTCAATACTCCAAAGACAGAAGTGAGGAGAGCGCTGCTACCAGGCTGGGCCCTGCTTCTGCTGTGCCGCCACCTCATGCAGCCTGCGAGGCTCCCACTGCTTCAGCCCCTGCTGCACACACACTCACATCACATCCTGGACCTGAGGTATTTCCTGGTCTCCCCAGGCTCCATAGCTAGACTGCTACTACCGCCTGGAAGAAGCCAAATCTTGAAAAGGGTGGAGCTTTATTTTTGGGATCACAAGGCTTGGTTTCTACAACCTCAGCACTAGTTTTTAGGAAAGGTCAACCCAGATGAGCAGGGGACCAAACGCTCAGGGGTCCAGGTACCTTTTGGTATTGCATTCCGTGCTCAAACACTGAGAACACCTAATCTCTCCAACTACATGTGGGCTAAAAAAGGTGGAGGAAAATTACCGTCGAGGAACTCGGCACATACATTCTTAACATGTGCTGCTTCAGACGGGCCCTCACTCCCCACACTCGAGTGATATTGCTGTGCTATTACCTGGATAAACCCCACAGCTGTACACTGGACCCTCCGGTAACCCCTCTCTGCACTTAGTCATAATGTCCCAACTTCTAAGCACTGCCTGAGACGCCCCGTGGCTTCGCCCTCACCCACGCAGCCTCCTCTCCCAGGCGCTAAGGCCACCTGCTCTTGAGCTCACGGCACATGTGCCCTCAGGCGCTGCTGCTGCTACGCGTCAGTTCGCGTCAGCTGCTTGGGCCTGCTGCTGGGAGCACATCCAGTCGTTCCTGGAGACACTCCCTCTGTGAGGCTCTCCTCAGCCATCCAAAGCAGTTTGCTTAGCTAACCTGCGTTCCCACAACACAGATGTTTACATCTTGGGGCAACTACTCTGGCTCCTTAGTGACAGGCCTGCATGCTGCACTAGCTACCTCCGTGACTCCCCACAGGCAAAGTTGTTTTTCTATCTCAGGAGAGTCTCCAAAAATATTTTTCTTCCAAAACAAAATTCATCATTGAGAACTTTTAGTTTAGTCACCATTTAAATATTCCTCATAAAAAGGAATACTTTCCATTACATAGAGATAATTACCTCCATTTCTTTCACTGCATCAAGTGTCCTAGTCTGGTCTTCATCTTCAGGCGATGACTGCAAAAAGAAAAAAAAACAACTTTATTAATATAGAGGTCTGGGCCCTCCATGGTGGCGCAGTGGGTTAAAGCATAGCACTAAGAAGCTAAAGCCACTTCAGTATGAGTTCCATTCCTGCCCCGGAGGTGACCACAGGGTGGGGCAGACCTCTCCTGACCCGCCCGCTGCTCCCCTCAGCAGTGGACTTCGCCAGTCAGCCTGTTCTGCTCCCCACTCTGTCTCTGGTGAATTCTCTTACCACCCCTGCACCTCTGGCCTGTACCCCAGTTCTGTATGCATAAATAAATCTTAAAAAAAAAAAAAAAGAAGAAAAGATGCCTGAAAGGGAAATGTCAAGAAAATAGAAAAAATATCAAAAGTTTTATAACAAGAGAAAAGGAGTAAGAATACAGACTACTGGTGTATAATTTTTTTTTTTTAAGATTTATTTATTTATTCATATAGAACTGGGGTACAGGCCAGAGATGTGGAGGGTGAGAGGATTCACCAGAGACAGTGGGGTGCAGAACAGGCAGATGGAGGAGGTACACTGCTGAGGGGAGCAGCGGGCGGGTCAGGAGAGGTCTGCCACGCCATGTGGTCACCTCCGGGGCAGGCGGGAATCGAACTCATGCGGAGGTGGCTTTAGCTTCTCAGTGCTGTGCTTTAGCCCGCTGCGCCACCAGGGAGGGCCCGGTGTATAATTTTTTAACTCAAAATGAAATTAAGTCACTAGCTTTTTGAGAGTATTTTTCAGTAAAGAGTAACTGTCACTGATAACGTCAAGACTGATATTTCTCTGCCTGATCAAAGAGCTCTACAAGTTTAAAAAGGCATCAGCATGGCCAGCTGGCACGCGGTGCTGGATTTAGGCTTCAGTCACTTCGCTGGCGTGGCTGAACCCACCCCTGCCTACCTACCGTTTATGGGTCCTGTGTGGTGACCACACCTGAGGGGAGAAGTCATGTACGGCCCAACACGTCAGCACACAGCACCAGCAGCTCCCTAAACAAAGCCTGCTTCAGTGAGCTAGGGGTAAGAGGAAGTGGGAGGAACGACAGGGGCTCCTCTGCCCCAGCAGGGGAATATTCTGATCCAAGCTGGAGGGCACCTCTCGCCTGTAAGTAACCCAAACGCTAAAGAGAATGTGAAAGAGCCCCACAACCCAAATGTACGTGCTGCACATGTAAACAACATACCCTTACTGGTGACAGTTCCTAGGGCGAAGTCAGAAAAAGAGGTGCCAGGTCCAAGGGTGGAGAAGCTAAATTAGAACTAGCCTGTCATTACCAACAAACGAAGACAATCAATTTAGGTCAGGACAATTAATTCGGACGGACAGGAAGGGGACAGCAAAGCCACTTGCACTGGCAGGACTGTTTCAGGCCACGCGCGGAGACTGCAGAGCGGTTCTCACGCACCCTGCGGTGCTCCGGCTTTCTGGACAAGTCACCAGGGCCAGCAGCCAAGGGGCCATGAGGGCACGACAAGCAATGACAGCCCAGTCCAGAGCGCGACGACCCAAGGCCACAGGCCCCTCTGACCACGCGACGAGGGCACTCTGAGACCAGCTCTCTCTTGCACCACAAGAACATGCTCTGGCTCTAATCTCTAAGCCCAGTTTCTGAACTATTCCATGCCGTGAGCTGTGTCCAACTGGACCAGAGACAGTTTCAAAGGCTAACAAAGACAGGGCGAGGAAGCTTTTTCTTTACCTACGGTTCCCACTGCTGTCTTGTACTGCACAACAAGGAGAAGGACAGTCCCTTTTAGTAATCAACGGCTTGAAGTCAAAAAAACAAGATTTCCCCTTTTTTGTCAGAAGACAGAGCACCCTAACATTGACTTTTAAGCTGTAAACTCTAGCAGCGCCTTTATTCCCCAAGTTAGTAGGAGACAATGAAAGTTCTTAGGTCTTCACAGACCCTTCTTTCTGTCCTCCGCCCTCACCCGTGGTCTCCAGGGGCTGGCTGTCTTGTAGGGATGGAAGGCAGCTGTCACGCTGGTTAATCCCATGGTTTTGTAACACTGAATGACTAATACTTGAGAGTCAGTAATAAATCACCCCATTTCTTCAGCAACATTCTTACCGTCTCCAATTCTTGCAGTGTTCTAGAATGACCTCCTTTTGTTAAAACATCCAGTAAACTATCTGCCATAACATATGGATAATCTTGACATGTGGCCAAAAACTCGTGGATGCTGAAAGAGAGAGTGTGTTGGCAAAGTCACTTTCAAATGAATCATCTCCACTGGCATAGCCAACTTTTTTCATCAGATGCCCTTAATTTATATTTGTACACCAAGATATAAAATATTCTGTCTAGAAACAATACTGTGTTTATGTATTTACCAGGGATAAATGATCATGAGAGAATTAAACAACATCAATCATACTGTGACAATGAAATAATGCAAAGAAAAATAAGACCTGGGTGATGTAGGGGGCCTGGGGTTCAGTCTGTGGAGTTCCACTCTCCACGTTACACCTCCAATTTGGACCACACCCTCCAGTCAGCTCTGTCTGGAGGGCTACTAGGCATCTCAGACCTACAATGTCTAAACCTGAGTTGCTAGATCTTCCCAGAACAGCCCTTCTAAAACCTCCCCCTTCTCAGTAAACAGCATCTTCATCCTTCTAGGCTGTCAGTAACCCTGGAGTCTATAACCTTGGGGTCATCCTTGATTTTGCTCTTCTCATGCCCCACTTCAGTTTCTAAACAATGAAAGTTATGAAAATAACAGCAAAGAAATCTTACTGGTGGCCCTCCCTGGTGGCGCAGCGGGTTAAAGCACAGCACTGAGAAGCTAAAGCCACTTCCACATGAGTTCGATCCCCACCCCAGAGGTGATCCACATGGCGTGGCAGACCTCTCCTGACCCGCCCGCTGCCCCCTCAGCAGTGGACTTCGTCGATCTGCCTGTTCTGCTCCCCACTCTGTCTCTGGTGAAGCCTCTCGCCGCCCCTGAGCCTCTGGCCTGTACCCCAGTTCTGTATGTACAAATAAATAAATCTTTTTAAAAAAAGAAATCTTACTGGTTAGGGGCCAACCCCTTGTCAACACCTCAACCACTATTCTCACGGTCCAGCTCTTCTTGATGACAACGACAACGGCAGTCTCCCTACATCTACCCCGACCCCGGGCAATCTGTTTTGAAAATTTTGAGCCAGAATGGGTCCTTAATCTGCTCAAAACCCATCAGTACTTTTCCATCTCACATAAGGTCCTTACAAAGATCTACTCCCACCTGCTGCCCCTGCATGCTTTCTGCTCCGTACCGCTCTTCTTGCTGTTCTCTGCACATGGCAGGCAGGGTGGGGGCCCACCCAGGGCCACGGACCATGACTCTACTGGCTGGAATGCCGCTCTTTCCAATGACATCAGTGCTTGCTTCTTTACCTCCTTAGTAATGTAGGGCTGTTTTCTGACGACGCTACTTACACTACACACTAACCCCAGCACAGACTACCTTCCTTTGTATCTCTACTGTTCTCCCTAGCACTGCTACCATCTGACTGGGCGCATGAATCTGTCTGATTGCTTGTCTCTTGTGGAATCCCCCAACTGCCAGAAAAACACCTGGCACATTACGAACAAGCAATGCCTATTTGTGGGGTGCACAGATGAATGAACTGGAAAGAATGTGTCCAAACGTGTGAGGTCTAAAGGAAATACATGACCGAATCTTCAACAATGGTCACTTGATGTCTTCAGGACCCATCTTAAACAACACCGTGCCAGATACCGCTCTACAGACATATACGTCAACAAGCCCCTCTTTGACAGAAAGCCAGGGGATCATTTATCTGTAGGGCTAAATTATTGTGCCAGGTCAAGATACCAGTGCCACGCTCAATGCCGTACCGAGTCAGAATCCTGGCAGCGGGTGTCATCTCATCATAGAGATGAGCACAAAAGTCTCCCCCAGGGAAGATTTCCTGAGAGATTTCCAGTAGCTACAAGTCTACTGGCATGCGATGGGTCTCAGGCCTCTATGTGGGTCATCTTAGGTATCAGGCTGTCACGACGTAACTTTTATCTCGGAGAAAATGTGCTGTATGTCCCCAAACTGACTAGCCTTGGGACAAGACTCACAGACACACAGCAATGTCACAGCAGGGGAGACGGCACACGCATTCCGAAGTAACAAGTTCCTGAACGTTAGTTTCAACTGATACAGCATCTTTAAAAACATATTTTTAAAAGAATTAAAATGCCACAGGTGCCAACATCAGAAAGGGTCAGGGAGATATGCTGTTGTAGAATGTTTAGTTTCTACCAAAGGATGTGATAACCAAGGGTCTATTATATCCATTTTCTACCTTTTGGATGACTGTGTAAGTCTATCATGGATCATGCATGATATAAATGTTAGGAAAATGTGCTATTTGGAATAATGATGAACTGGAGACTTACCTGAAATCACTGGGCAGGTCGGAGTCTTCCCCATAGGTTGAATAGATTAAATCAGAATCATCCTTGCTAATATTTGCAAATGTGGAGTCATAATGTGGTGCATAAGAACTGTAGGGTCCATAATTCAAGTATAACACTGTTGACAAGAATTAAATTAAATATTATTCCCTTATAACTTTACTTCTTTACTAACTCCATACAGGCGTAGGAAGGCATTTCCACTCCAAAGAGAAACTTGCAAAGCTACAAGTGATTTTTCCCCCCACAAAACGGAGAGGAAAAATTAAAAAAAAAACAAAATTCATCTTGAATATCAACACCTGATTTTTCAGTTTCTTCTGACTTTAATATAATAGTCTCGCAATAATACGAGAGTGAGTGAATAAAGCAGGGAGTGGGAACATCCCTGAAAAGGAGAGAAAACACCACCACCACACGGAGTCTTACCTGGAGTTACTTTGTTCCTTTTATCTTCTTTGAACCCCTGCAAAGTGTTCACTCCAGACTGAAGCCTTCCAGTTGTCATTCCCAGCCTCACGGGGCAGTAGCCTGGCTCTAAAATAGGACAGAGGGGGAAGCGCAGGGGCTGAGACAGCTGTGGAGGCAGTGTGTGCAGGCACATGCCTTCCTGCCCTCCTGGGGCTCTGGGGCGGAGGCTGAGCAGCCCTGGCTATGACCCATTTTCTACCTAAGAAATTCTGGGCTTGGAAAGCAGAAATGTAGACAGGGGCAAATCCTGATTTTCATTCTCTGCTACTGCTTCCTAAACTTCTTTATGATCATGTTACATTCAGTTACCAAAAGAAATATTAACTGTTGGACCTTTTAATGATGGGTCCTTCCTGTGGCCTAGGGGTTAAGTCTCAGCGCCATCACTGGTACGGCCTGAGTTTGATCCTCGGCAAGGGAGCTAACCCTATATGGGTTAGCACTGACCTCTCCCGTCTTCCCGCTGTTCCCCTTCGCAATGGATTTCAGTAGATCTGCCTGTTCTGTTCCTCACTGTCTCTGGTGAATCTTCTCACCCCTCCTCCTCACCACCCCACCACTTCTGGGTATACCCCAATTCTTCTACAAAACAAAACAAAACAATGCTAAGATGATGGAAGTAAACCAGTTGGAAAGGTTAAGAAAACACCTGGATTAACAATAACAAGAACTCATAATATATTTAGACAAAATATACACAAGCCACATTTTTAGTGTGGTGAGTGAGGCTTTAAGGACATGATCCCCAAACCAGAACAAACTCCTGTAACGACACTGGAAATCTGTGATAAGAGCAGGAGAACTGAGGATATCTGAGAAGGATGATGTCAGGAGAAAATGCAGCCTCTGGCAACACCAAAACAAAAGGTGTTTCCTCTCCTGAAGAGGAATCTGGTTCTTATAACATGATCACCCCAGGACAGAGTTATAGGTGATCAGGGTGACAAAACAGAAGTGCTGCTAAGGAACTTCAAACACCTAAGTCCGCTCTTCTCTTCTTGGCCAGCAGTCTGGAGTCTGGTGTTCCTATGTGGGCTGGTACCCCACCAGGAAGATGAACCTCAGGAGTTCACAAGGGCATCTCCCATCTAGCTGGAAACTGGGCCTCCTGAGGAGAGCTGCTGTGAATGGGTGGAGTCAAGTCAGCCCCGCCACGTGTGACTGTGGCTACAGGAGTCAGAAACCAGACCAAGGTAGTGTCTCCGCTCAGTGCAAAGCAAGGGGCAGATCTGAAAGCACTGGTCAAATCAATGCAGTTATAGCTGCATCATCTCCCCTCACCAAATTTGTACCACAGCTAGCCTGGAAATAGCAAGGTTGTCAGTCCTATAGTGTTTTATTTGACCCCAAACCATTTAAAATTGAACTGTGAAAATTTCATCAAGTAAAAAATTAGCTGTTTTGAATGCATGTTAGCAGTTCCATGTTAGTCAAGGAGCCTAATGTTCTCTTTAGCATTTTGTGGTTGGAATTAATGCCAAAAGAATAGTAACAGGCTTGCCCTTTCAGTCCTCAAATGAATCAACTATGCCCTGCTTCAAAGTTTCTTTTACCCTATTCTTCCTGCTGCTGTTCTCCCACCTCTCCTAAGCATTAGCTTGCTAAGGAAGCCTCCAGCAGCCAGAGAGCACCTAGGTGACTTATTACACATTACCTCAGAGGCAGTTTAGTAGGACTGGTTCACATTAAAATTATGGCCTCTCTCTCTCTCTTTTTTAAATGATTTATTTATGCATACAAGTGCAGACCAGAGCTGCGGGAGGAGAGAGGACTCACCAGAGACAGAGTGGGGAGCAGAACAGGCAGATCTACTGAAATGCACTGCTGAGGGGGGCAGTGGGCAGGGCAGGAAGGGTCTGCTACTCCCTGTCGGTCAGCTCTTGGCCGGGGACTGAACTGGGCCGAAGTGGCTGTCAATAGCCGCACAGTGCCACCAGGGACAGCTACTGTGCCGTCTCTTAACAGATCGTTTTTTGCTTGTGACCTCCCCTGTTTTGGTCCCTGCTCTATACCTAGCTCCACTTCTCACTAAGGCAGTGCCTTTGGTAGTAACGACCCATTATGCAGACTAGGGCCAGAGGGAGTCTTTGTGGACAGTGACACAGCTGGGTTTATCACCCCCAGGCGTGTCGCTTCAGTCCAGGTTCCTGCGTCTACCAAACAGCATCAAGTCCACCTGCAGCCTAATTCTGCAAACCTACCTCCCACAATGGGGTCCACAGGGTGGAGAAGTCCTAACGTCGTCGTTCCATCTGGCTTTCTTCTTTCAAATTCACACTGCAATGAGCCAAGGTGTCCAGAGGGCATAAACAGCTTTATATACACACAGTATTCACTAAACACATTCATATTTTATATTAAGTATTATATGTAAGTGCATATGGAATGACAGACAGCACACCAGAAAGCCTTAATTTAATCAAACCAATCTAGGTGAGTATCCATATACTCAAATACTGCCTTTCATGCCTTTCTACATGTAGACAGATGCTGATGAGCCAAAGAACAGGTCACCTAGTTCTGTCTACTGTTAAAGGATAGTGAAGAGTGGGGAAGGGGGTGAATCAACGAGAATCATGTATTAATCCACTGGTTTTAAAACTAATGTGCTAAATATTATTGTTTTAAAAGAACTAAGTATGTATGTTTTCTTGCTAAGCTTAAAATGTGTGGTTCATTTTCTGATTACAGAACACATTAACCTCAACTAAAAAGAAAAAATCCAGTAACAGAGGATGAGATTAATAACATACTTTACAAATGCATCAAGTTTTCTTTTGAGCACTGTACCAGAAAAGCTCTACAGCAGACTCGGATTAAGAGCATACAAGCAACCCAAGAACTTCATTGTGTACACAGCTCGCATTAGCAGGCCAGGAAAGAAAAGCTGGGTCACCTGGCTGTTAACGAGCCTCCGGGTTAGCTTTCCCCCAGATTCCTTAACGATGCGGTCAATCTGCTCCTGCTCTCTCTCGAAATTACTGCTTCTAAATTTATCTTCAACCATGTCTTTGTCTTTCCTGAAAACACATATTAATACCAAGTTAAAAAGAAACAGACCGAGTATGTTGGTAGGCTTTTGCATCCAGTGTTAATCTGCCTTTACTATTTTGCTCAGCACATTTACAAAATGAATTCTACCTGAAATATAGTTGGAAGGGAAAGCAGCACAAAATTATTTCTTTTTAAGCATACATTTAAAACATATAAACCTTAGAAATACAACAAAAACTAGTCACAAGTTTACTTTTCTTTGCACCAATGAGCTCCTGCCCAGAGCTGACTGTGAGGCGGTGGGCATTAGGCCTGGCAGTGGGGAGAGCCAGATGGACAGAACTCTTGAGCAGTCACGCTGGCGCGGCTGCCCGGTGACTGCCCTGCTGTTTACAAGTGGCTGTACTGTGCTTAACTGCTTCCTCGAGTCCTTTATGGAATGAGGTGAGTGCGCATTGTTGTCTTAAATAGCTGTTTAATAAACTCACTGAAAAGATGAGTACTTAGGGTAATTTAACAGCTCTGCAAACTGCTTTGGGAAGAATACACACTCAACTGTTTCCTGAGCTGTCCACAGACTCCGTGTGGGAAGAGGGCAGAGGGCACTCCATTCTCAAGAGATCTCCACCTCAAAAGCCACCCATGGAGCCAGGTGGACCCAGACTTTGCATCTCCACCCCTCCACCCCCATCCTAGCCTGAGAAGGACAGCTTAACCTAACATTCCAAAGATACTTCACTTTTTGTTTTCCTTGCTGGGGCTCTTAAGAGTTTGTGCTTCAGCACCCGCGGGGTCCTCCCTTTCCCTCAGCCAGCCGCTGCCGCTGTCCTCCCCGCTCTGTGAGGCATCTGTCCTGTCCTTCTGCTTTCGGCTTTTTTGCAAATCTGCCATGAAATCGATGCTCTGCTTCAGGCTCTGAATTCTCTCCTAAAAATATTCAAAGACATTGTTCCTAAATGTTTGTCATTATTTTAAAAATAATGCAATAGTTTATTTTTACATGGTTTTGTGCATTTTTCCATCTCAGTTGTCATCCCCGTGGGCTTCCCATCACCAAATCACCCGTGTGCCGTCACCACAGTCCAGTGCATGTCATTAATTTTTTAAAGTAACACATGTTCCCCACAAGAGTGCACTTACCCTGTCATTGACTAGAGGAGAAAAACAAGTGTAATTACACCAAGAGTATTATAGTCAGGAACCAGAACAATAAAGTCTATTCCTTCAATTTAGATAAGTTAATTCCTAGTGTAAAAGAATTCTTTATAACTTGATCATCAAAAAGCTTACAGGAGAGCAACTATTAAGACTATGCCTTGCCTGCACTGCATTCAGAAAGTGGAGGTGTAGTAATCTGCTGTAGTCTTATATATTTCACAGAAGGGTTTCTCTCTTGAACAAAAGGTTACAAATGCTTTCTCAGAGTGCACAATGTTCTCACCAAAGACTTGTTTCTATTTTGTGAAACATGTGCTTAATTTTTCACTGCACTGATAGGCTGTGAAATTTTTATTATGGTTAAGGGCTTGAGGTTTCTAGGCAAATGTGAGAAAATTTGTTTCTGGAAGGCTCTGCCTTTTAATTTGAGAATTATCATTGGATAAAATATGCAGAGTAGTCTCCTCAGGGCTGCCACCACTACAACAGGAGAGACTGCAGCAGAATAATAAAAGCTAGTAAGTGGAAAGGACCAGAGGTCACTCAAGTAAGAGTGTAGCCCAGGAATGCTACATGACTCCTCCAAGGTCAGAGGGAGGGACTTAGGCCCAGTGTCCTCAGGTTGGGCCTTTGCTATCTCCCTCAGCTATGGGAATGGAGACTGTGAGAGCCGTAAGAACATGCACAGGGGTTAAAGTCTGGGCACTATCAAGCTACTGCTGGCCATGCAGCATGAGTTGATCCCAGGCCAGGCCTGGGGAGCTAACCCACATGTGGCGCAGCAGACCTCTCCTGTCTTGCCTGCTGTTCCTTGTGGCAGCAGATTTCAATCGATTGCCTGTTCTGTTCCCTACTCTGTCTCTGGTGAATCCTCTAACCACCTCACTTCTCTGGCCTTCACCCTAGTTCTTGTATGCATAAATAAATAAACCTAAAAAAAAAAGAAAACAAGAACATGTCACTGCCATTTTCAATGGATCTGACTTTTTGAGAGGAAAGTGAGGAACAGTGTTAACAGGCTTATCATTTCAGTATTTTTCTAAGCATTTTCCATATTAATAAATTGGAATTATACTGAATATTTGGCCAGTACAACCTTTTCAGTTAATTAATTACAAGCACTTCCTTTTCATATCATCATTCTTTAAGATGTTTTAAATAGCTGTATTGTATTTCATCCTTTATAAGTTTATGATATAATTAACATACAACTGGGCATTTATATTATTTCCAAGTCTCAGGAACATCACTGTAAGTACACCTCTCTAGGAATCTCTATCTCTTTAAGATAAATTTCCAGAAGTAGAGAAACTAGACCAAAGAAAATGAGTATTTTTAAGGCTCTAGTATTTATGCCAAACTGTCTTTCAGACAGTTACTAATTTATATATCAGTTTTTGCAAGTTTTATTGGAGTATGAATCCTTGTCAAATTGAGAAGAATCATTGCAAAAACAAACCAAAACCCCCCCCAAAAAACCAAAACCACCAATCTAATTTTTAAAAACATGCTTTAATATATTTTAAAATGTTAATGAGGGCCCTCCCTGGTGGCGCAGCGGGTTAAAGCACAGCACTAAGAAGCTAAAAGCCACTTCCGCATGAGTTCGATTCCCGCCTGCCCGGGAGGTGACCACATGGCATGGCAGACCTCTCCTGACCTGCCCGCTGCTCCCCTCTCTGTCCCTGGTGAATCCTCTCACGCTCCGCATCTCTGGCCTGTATGTACTCATCCCAGTTCTGTATGAGTACCCCAGTTCTGTATGAATAAATAAATAATTCTTTAAAAAAATGTTAATGAGTTGATTACTTCTTTAGCTGCTTATTCCCTTGTGTATGTTACTTAAGTTATTCTTACTCATCTCTTTCTGGTACCTCAAACTGATTTAGGCATATAGTAGATATTCAATAAACGCTGATTAAAGGTTTAGATATTATGAAGTTCTCAGCAACCTTTTTTTATCTTGATTCTAGTATTTTATAAAGCAGAACCTACATTATGAACATTTTGGGATTTCTTCAAATGCAGCATACACAGAATTAAAAGAGAAATCTTCTAAAGTTAATTGTGGGAAAAGCTGAGCTTAACTAATCTTACTTTGAAAAGCAGTATCTTTTTCTCTTTTAATAATTAAAAATGTCTCCAAATAAGCATACTTCTTACCCATCCCAATCTTATAATATTAAATGACTAAAAGGGCTTGGTTCTTTGCCATTATTAATAGCTAATTCTTACTGAGCACTACCAATGTATCAGATATAATTCTGAGGTAAATATTAACATTACCCCATTTTATGTGACAGGAAAAAGGTTGAGAGAAGTGGTAATAGCTTGTTGAGGTCACACAGCTTCTTAAAGACAGGGCTAGAATCTGAACCTTGAAGTCTGACTGGGCTAGCAATAATACTCTCTGTCCTAGAATGCTGCACCCTATTATTTATCCAGGACACCAGAAGAATTATTCTACTTATGTCTGCTCTTGATAAAACTAGTGTCAAGCAGTTACTATTTGTGCATACCTTAAAAAAATGATGAATAAAATCTTTATAATGAACATTAAAGAACAATTCTTTTAAAATTAAAACACCATTCATGGGGGCCCTCCCTGGTGGCACAGCAGGTTAAAGAACAGCACTAAGAAGCTAAAAGCCATGTCAGCCTGAGTTCGGTCCCGCCCGCCCCAGAGGTGACCCCACGTGGCATGGCAGACCCTCCTGACCTGCCCACTGCACCCCCAGGCAGTGTACTCCGTCAGTCGGCCTGTTCCGCTCCTCACTCTGTCTGGTGAATCCACTTACCACCCTTGTACCGCTGGCCTATACCCCAGTTCTGTATACTTTAAAAACAAAAAACAAAAATAAATACCATTCATGGAAGGGTGTGCCAGCGAGTGCTGCTACTAGGAGAGATAGCTCTGAAGTGTATTTAAGTATATTTAAAGGTTTAAAAGTCACTACTGTAAGGCTCCCTCCCATCTTGGGTGGGAGGAACAGCCACAGAGCAGGAAAAGAGAAAGACCAGAGAGAGAAAAAAGGGAAAGAAGGAAAGTTCCATTTTTTCTGCTTCCAGCCATTCCAACCTGGTAGAATAAGATATAATGGAATCCTTTGCAAGTTAAATTAACTATATTATTTAAAGAAAATAGTAATAAGAGAAAGTCTGTAATTAATTTTGGACATGTCTGGATATACAAATTAAATCTTCTCCTAAAAATTCAATGTGTGTGTGTATATATTTTAAAGATTTATTTATTCATACAGAACTGGGGTACAAGCCAGAGGTGCAGGGGCAGTGAGAGGCTTCATGAAGTCCACTGCTGAGGAGAAGTGGGCAGTTCAGGACAGGTCTGCCGTGCCACGTGGGTCACCTCCAGGGTTGAGATTGAACTCGCAATGAAGTGGCTGCGGCTAGCTTGTAGTGCTGTGTCCTAACCCGTTGCGCCACGCGGGAGGGCCCAATGTATATATTTTAAAGTGACTAAATCTGCACTGGCTGACCTTTAAATATGAAATGTAGTTTGGTTCTGGATTTTGAGTCTTTCTGAAAAGAACTGTATGGACATTTATTCCCATTTCCTCTGCGAATTTCGCTGAGACTGGGTAACTAGCTCTCATTTGTTTCTCAGGTCATTAGGAGAGGGTGGAAACTGACGCTGGCTAACTGTTAGGGGCACAATGGAAATAACCAGTCCAGATGTTTTTTTCCCCCAAGGTAAGTGAACCCAAAAACCTCTGAAAGCCAAGCACACACTCAGACATCTGCAAACCGAGGCATTTCTTTGCGAAGTGCACACAGATGACCACCACAGCACCAGACAACACGCGCATCTACCTCGCCTCACTGCCACTGTGTCATACCTCCAGCTCTTGCTGGTTCTTCCTCCTTCCTATGTCTTCTACCCATTCAGTTCTTCTCTGCAAAAATCTCTCCTGTCTTACTATTCTTTTTTATAGCCTCCTCCTTATTCTAGCCTTTATCTAGAATCAGCAAAATTAATCTCCAATTATCTTGGAGATCACAGATTCAACATTCTCTACAGATGAGAACACTGAAGCCCAGAGTGTCTTATTCAAACAAGATTCACAAATTAGTGAGAAAGAATTAGATGTAAAATTCAATCTTTTGACTTTCTGTTGGGGTACAGAGCGAGGATGTCCTCAGTTTATTTTCCTATCTTACTCAGAGATATAAGAAAGACCTCAAAAGATGCCACTTACTATCGAGCTCTTTTCTTCCAGTAGATGAACAACCATCAACTCAATTTACCTTCAAGGTTTTTCATCAATTGTCCCTCCGAGATGATACTTAGGTAACTTTCTGTGCCTATGTACCGTGTCTGTTTTGAATCAGCCATCATGATCAAGCTCGTTCACAAAGCCGGATGCCGTCAGGGCCTCTGCACACATTTCTTGCACCCCAAATGCCTTGCTACACACCAGTGCTTGTCCTGCAAGGGAGAGTCTGGGGCAAGTGGCTTTGAGACAGTTCCCAGTTATTGCTCATTTGTACAATTTGTTTCCCTTGGCGAGGAGGAGTTACTGTACTTTATCAGCGCGTCAGAGTCCATCCCACAAAGGGAAGAGTTTTTTAGGAAAGGTCTCAATAATTCTCCTGCAACCTGGAATTCAGGCTCATGCTTCTTTCATAGGGAAAATAAGTCTTTCTAGTGACGGTCGTTTTAATTTTCTCCTCAATATTAAGGAGAAAATATTTAATTTTAAATACATGTTTAAGATTTAACATTTTGTACTTTAACATGAACATTCTCTAAAATGAGTACTTTATAAGACCTGCTATCACCATGACCAAAAAAACCAGAGAGTTACAAACTTTAGAACTGTTATTTGTGACAATTTTCTTTACCTGGCTAAGAATTTTCATCCCTGAGTGCAACAGCTTCTTTGCAGCTTTATAATAAATGGTCTCTGGTTTGTTGTAGATCATAGCATTAGTGCACATGAGCTTGAAGTTATCCTGTAGAGAGAACAGTAAGAGAGGAAATGCATTAAAACAAAATAAAGTATCTCTTGTCCTGGTTTGACAAAATACAGGTACTTGAAAATTAAAATAAAAACATACAAAATCATCTTACCCTTTCCTTTCACTGTTTTACTAAACAACATTAATAGCAATTAAAATTTAAGATTCAATAACCAAATACTACTGAATTAAACATTCCACTATTCTTTTCCAAATTCCTAAACATTTTATAGTAACTATATAAAATTATAAATTTCAAGATGAAATTTCTAAATGGGTTTCTTCAGTATTATCTTTCTGCCCAAAAGTTAATATTTCTATTTTATATTTAAATAGAATAATCTTAAACCTGAGTAATTTGCATAATTAAACATGACTCAAGTTAAAAACAAACATTTTCAGTTTTCATTTATGAATTAAATATTTTATTTCAGATCTTGACTGAAAATGGGAACAGTACTTAATTACCACAATATTTCCTACCAAGTTCAAATTCACTGAGCATTATAAAAACATTTACACTAAGTATTTGAATACGATTTTGAGCTAAACACACTTTGCAAAATATTGTTAAATGATGCATTGTGAGATAAACCATAGAAACTCAAGAGTTAAAACATGTAACCAGACAAGTCGAATTATCAAAAATTTTGATTTAAAATTGATGTGTACTTTTGATTCAAATTTGAAAATTAAAAAGTGTGCATGTCCATTAGGGGACTCAATCCCATAGCATATTTTATTCATTAAGTAATTTATACATTACGCATAAATTTGAGTGATAACAAGGTCATACTTTGTTGAAGAGGTAAATATACCCTGAAAAGAATGTTTCTCTAAGCAAAAACTAAACTCCAAATTCCAAATCCTATTGCTTAACAGTAAGTAATGACAGATTAGAAGACACAAATGGAATGAAGAGATAAACCAGTTTATTTGAAAGCATGTGAGAAAACTGCTTCAAGGGTTACAATAAATTTGGAATTGAATTTAAAGTACCTGCTGATTTCTCAGTTCCTGGCCAAATGTGCACCCAGGATTTTGCTGGGGCCCGGCTCTGTAAGACCCCAATGAAAGCCATGGCTCTGTTCCTCAGTATATACATGCATGCACACAGAATTTTCAAGTAATTTTAGAGGTTCTTGGTCCCACAAAGGCTCATCCACGACTACCCACAGGACCCCAGGTTAATTATCTTTGTCACGGATATTCTGAAAAGCTCCCATTCCATTAAGAATTATCAAATATGTGTTTGGGGAGAGGAAAGGCAAGTAAAAGGAGCTCACAGATGACTACTACTCAGACTAAATGCCCACTGGGCCTATACCTGGCAAGACAGTACTAGATTATGCTACTAATTCCAGTTCTGATCTGTTAAGGCTATCTGGAGATTCTATACATCTTAACCATAATGTGTAATGGGACTAGGTCACTCAGATTAGGGGAATGACTTTTCTGTGTATTTTTCATTTAATTAAATAACAACAACAAGTCAACTTGCACAGCCTATTAAGTCTATTTATTGAACTAAGTAGTAAATATTGCTCTGGGTTACTGAATTTTCCCTAGGAAAACATGCAGTAATGCAGAAAATTCCAAAAACAAAAACAGTGCTCATTTCAATTATGATATTAACCGCCTGTGCACAAAACCATTTCTCTGATTACAAGAGAGTGTAAATCAGTTTCTTCAGGGTAAGTAACTATCACCTATACAGTCAAACTGATAGCAAAGACAGAATTTGGTACTGTACTGTTGCTAAGTCTCAGCTGATAGGCATCTGTATGGAAAAGATACTAAGTAGAGATAATGTTTACTGCCTCATAAACACATTTCCACTTATTTAGAATAATTACAGATACCTCTGAAATCAACATACACTGAAACTAGTTAAAGACAGAAAAAACTTCAACTATCCCATAAGGCATATACGTCACCTTGGTGGCTTGCCGATTCTTATATGTTTTTCCCTCTTAAAATTGAAGGAAAGCTGTTCAGCAAATACAGTTAAAAGCAAACTTAGAGGGAGCCAAGTGTCTTTCATCAAATTAAAAATATAACTGAACTGCTCGGCAAATCAAGTTAGATTTTATTTTAGAAGACACACACACATCTTAGGTATCTACAAAAAAAGAGAAATTACTGTAATTCACTCTTCACTAAAATGAGTTTTACCTCCATTGACCTAGTTAAAAGTCAAATACCTTTTCATATTAAAGGTTGAGAAAATATGTTATGGAATATATTAAGTTCAAAATTTTTCTAAAAACAAACAAGACAATGTAACAGTCAATTTCATTTTACCTTCTCTCCTCAAGCTCAAAATGTTTTCTAAGACAGAAAAAACCAAAGATTTTGAAACTAAAGTAAATTTAATTCTCTGCCAAACAAAAAGGCAAGCAAATGATCCTGAATAAATACTCTACAAGATTTTAATTATACAGGATTCAAGAGTTTGACTCTTGACTGAATGAAGATATGTCGCTTCATTGCAGGGCTTGGTTTCTCCATTCTTAACACAGACAACTAGTTACCTTTAGTTCCTCAATGGACTGGTAGTCATTGTTCTTGATCTTTTCTTTCATGGTACTAAAATCCATTGGGTGTTTAATGATCATGGAGTAGCCCGGAGCAATAAAATCAGTCACAGGAAATGAAAAGAAAGCACTCGGGTCTTTTCTGTGAACATATAAAACAGGCAATTTTATTTCTACTATAAACAAATCCAGTGGTCTAGGAGCAGATGTCAGATGTGGAAAAAACTAGTTTTTCAGTGAAAACTGAAGGAAAATTGAGCAGATGTCAGATGTAGAAAAACTGGTTTTTCAGTGAAAATTGAAGGAATGATTTAAGGACTAATAACAAAGTCCTTATTTTATATATATGTATGTATATATAAATTTTTTACACCCTAGTAGAATCTTTTAAAATGTGCAGTCTTAATAAATTAGTAGCACCTCAGGGAGAAAGGAAGCAAACTAGAAAACCTTGAGTAAATGGCTTTTATGATTATATTAATACTCTATTAATCAACCTCAGGAGAAAGGACACAAATAATAACTATAGCTACACACCTGTAACCTTTTATTGCACCCGTGTATGCAATTTCCTTAGCCAACGGATACATCTCTTACATATGTGTTTCTGTCTGTGTGGGGGGAATGTCCAAAAAAATCTGACATTAAAAATAGATTCTCTTAGGTGGGGCCTCCGTGGTGGCACAGGGGTTTAAGTTACAGTGTTATCAAGCTATCACCTGCTACTGTGGTATGAGTTTAATCCCCAGCCAGGGAGTGACCCATAGGATGCAGCAGACCCCTCCTGGCTCTCCATTGTTGCCCTCAGCAGTGTATTTTGGTGGATCCGCCTGTTCTGCTCCCTGCTGTTTCTGATGAATGAATCCTCTCATCCTCTGTACCTCTGAATTAGACCCCAGTTCTTCTATGCATAAATAAATTATTTAAAAAAATCTCCAAATCCTCAAGCTGGAGAAAATCAGTGCTTCCTATCATAAGTCTTGACTAGCTGATAATGTGTAAGAATCATTAGAGGACTTTTATTTTTTAAAAAAGATTTATTTATTTATGCACACAGAACTTGGGTATAGGCCAGAGGTGCAGGGGGTGAGAGGATTCACCAGAAGCAGACTGGGGAGCAGAACAGGCAGATGGACTGAAATACACTGCTGAGGGGAGCTGCAGTGGGTCTGGAGAGGTCTACCACACCATATGGGTCACCTCCCTGGTGGGGAATTGAACTTGTGTTGCAGTGGCTGCGGCAGCTTCACAGTGTTATGCTTTAACCCGATGCGCCACCAGGGAAGGCCCCAGAGAACTTTTAAAAGCAAGGAGGCTCACCCCAACACCCTAGAATCTCTTAGGGGAGGAAGGCGGGTCAAGGCATTTGGTATTTCTAGGACTGAGTGCTGGTCTGGTATTTATTTGGCACTGGTATTTGACAGGCTTCAGAATTACTGCTCCATATTATTAATTCACTTTTCTGGTTTTTTCCCCCTCTGGAAATAAGATATACCATTTTCTTACTCCAAATAATCACAATAAAAGTGGTATAAGAATGTAACAGCAGCGACTTTTAAAAGGCTCTGACCATGTGCTAGGCCCAGTATTAGGTACTTCATGTATTTTCTGGGTAATCCTCACAAGTCATCAAGGCGATGGTACCCTCATGTGGAAATGCAGATACTAAGGTTTAGACTGGCCAAATCATTCTGACAAAACTGAAGAGCCAGCGTCTGAGCTTAAATTTATGTCAATTTGCCTTTGTTCTTCCCACAGGTATCCCTAAGCAGGAAGAGTAAATAAGCTAATGAGAATAAGCAAAAACCCCACTTATAGCCAAATGAGTGCTGTCCAAAGTACTTATTGTGAATAACAACTAATCATGGCTGGACGATCTCTTTGGGGTGAATTTTCTTCATTAGACTGTGACTCTAGATTTTAATTACCAAAATGTCTGAGCAATGTGAAAATCCTTGGACCAAAAGAAACACTATTATGTATATTTCTTTTAAGATGGTATCACTCTAGTCTATGGTAAAAGGAATAAAATTAGAAGTCAGCTAAAACACTTTCTAGTTCTAAATTCTAGCTGAGATGGAATGCCAATATTTACACATTCGCTTCACAAGAAATGACTTATTTGAGCATACTGAAGATATAAAATTTATTCAACTAATCTAATACCAAAAAGGAAGAGTGAACACTAACTTCTGGTTAAATTACAAATCTGAACAGGTGTCAGATACAGCTAGCACTACAGGCTTTATCTTAAAACATTATTTACGGTGTGTTCTGGGGAGGACATCTAAGTATACTTCAGTGAGAAGAAAGGCCATTATTGGAGTTTATATCCTCGTTATGAATCCTCTCCAAAAAAGTGTAAATGTTTCTGAATTGAAAATGCAATTCTGAGTAAAGAGGTGGCAAAATAAATATTTTTTTATAAAAAGATTTATTTAAGCATATAAGAGCTGGGATACAGGCCAGAGGTGCAATGGATGAGAGGATTCACTAGAGACAAGAGTGAGGAGCAGAACAGGTGGACTGAGGGGAGCACTGGGGAAGCAGGAGAGGTCTGCTGTGCCCTGTGGGTCAGCTCCCTGGCCAGGGATCCAACTCTTGCTGCAGTGGCTGTGGAGAGCTTCATAGTGCTGCGCTTTAACCCCTTACCAGGGACGGCCCCGCACAATAAATATTTAAATAAAAATTTAACTATTTTTCATTTTATGAACACTAGTGTAATATACTGAAATTTAAAAAATAATTTTCTGTATTTAAAAGGGGGCTACAAATCATATTATTGGCATTTTTTTCTTTATCTAGATTTAATGGTCTTTGAATAACCATAGCATAAACATCACACAGAAAATATTTTCATCTATCAGCAAAATAAAAATATCTATTGTTTTCTCTTGGGTTAGAGCTTTAGCATCAGAGGTTACTTTAAAAAGATCTGATATTAAAAATATTATGTAATGACTCAAGTTGCCAGTTAAAACAAACTAAATGAGAACATCTAAAAGTCAGTTTCTTGGAGTACTTCTATTGTCAAGCATGTTTATCATTCACCTTAGTTTTATTTTTTTTTTAAAGATTTATAATTTAAATAAATACAAGGAAACACACCCCATACAAGAGCCTGGGTGTAGGTCAGAGGTGTGGCAGGTGAGTGAGAGGATTCACCAGAGACAAAGCGGGGAACAGAACAGACCTACTGATCTGAGGGAACAGTGGGGAACCAAGAGAGGTCAGCGGCATCATGTGGGCCACCCTCCTGGCCAGGGACTAAACTTGTGCTGCAGTGGCCACAGATAGCATCACAGTGCTATGTCTTAACCCCTTGCGTCACCAAGGAGGTCCCCCTTATCATTCACTTTAAAATCAAGTACATTTGAATTATATCGCAAAATGTAGTTTTAAATAATTAAATTACTGAATTCTATAAAATACTGAAAAAAGCATCTACCTCTGTAATTGTCTCATTAGTTGATTCAAAGCTTCTTGAAGGGGTGTCTGTTCTACCTCTGAAAGGGAAAAAGAAAGAAAAGAGCATTATTAAAAGGAAAAACCTAGAGAGTATTAACTCATTATCTATGTGATTTTAGCATATTTACTATGAAGTTACCTTATACAGAAATTACACTTATAAATATTGAAATATGAGAACATAAGTTCAAAACTGAAGAAGCTAATTTAAGGTACTTATGCAGTAAGAGAAATAACTTAAAAAATTTAACTTTAGAAACCCAACCATTTTCCCTGGCTGTGACTCTTAAAATAGCTTCAACCTTCTCATTAAGGGCAGCTAATCAAAGTTATACCAACCTTCTTGTTTGGCTAAAGAGCTGGCAAGAGGCTTCTCAGGGGGCAAGTCTAATCTTATAGGGGCCTGACACTGAAGATCTTTTTCTGCCTCATTCTCCACACGGTCCCGATCTCGCTTCCTTTTATCCTCCTAAATATACAAAGAGAGATAATTTAGAGATACTCTGGAGTCAATATCTTTAAAACAAGTCATTTTAATTTCATTGAAAAAGAATACTTTTGCAAAGAAAATAATCCCTGATGAAATCTTCATTAATTTTATCGCCATCTACTGGAAGAAGAGAGCTTAACAGTCTCATGGAGTAGGGCAAAGTGCTTCTGCAGTAGAACAACCAATTAGAAAACTGCTATTCACAAGAGCCAGGTAATGCATCTAGAAATCAACCTAATAAATTTTGCCAAGATATTTTGGGGAAATTTATGAAACAACACTGAAAGGTTACAGGGAAATATGTACATAAAGAAGATTAACTGTGTTTATGAACTTTAAGACATTTCTCCAAAAGAAACTTACAGATAAGATGTAATGCCAGTGAAAATTGTAAGTGAATGATCAAGAACAGTCAGAACAGCTTTGAGAAAGGTCCGAGTAAGACATTCATCGGTCTATAGTAGGTGTTTATATACAGTGATAACTAAGATGATGTGAGCGCACATGGGACTAGACAAATACATACAGCACGTCACAGAATCCAGAAACATAGCCATGCAGAGAAAGTCACGGTCTATCAGAGGTGGCATGATCAATCAGTGACAAAAAGGGAGTGTTGGGACCACAGGTTATTTTATGAAAAAGGAAAATAAAATTGGATCTTTATCATATACCATACACACAAGTAAATTCCAAATCAAGACTTAGATATATGAAGCAAAACTGTCAAACTTCAGAGAGAAGTATTTTATCAATCAAGAGTAGATTTTCTTATCCATAAAGCTAAAACTCTCAACTGAGGGAAAACTGGTATCTGAAATACAAGTAACTTATAAAGTATTAGCAAAAATTACGGAAAGAACACCTATAAATTCATGTAAAAAGGGAAATAACGGAAAATGGGTAAAGGATCTCACAGGCAACTCACAGAAGAAATCCCAATTGTGAAGGAACAGGAAAAAGCTGCTAAATGAGTTCTCTAGAATTCTGGGAATTACAAGTTTAAAAACTAGTAGGCATCTCAAAGCTCTCTAATTGGCAAAAGTTAAAATGTTCGCAAATGTCAGGTTCTACCAAAAATGTAGAGAAATTCTGCTTGGGGGGGGGGGTCATACCTTGTGGACTGGCGAGTTAACATACAGCCACTCGGAAAGTCATCAGCACTATTTACTTAAAGCTGAAAATGCCTTTATCTTTCTCACAAATTCTACCTCTGGGCATGTAGGCTAGAGAAATTTTCTTTCACACAGTACAACAGAGACATATACAAGAATACTCAATACAGTATTCTTCAAAATGATAAAACTTTAGGAACTACTCAATCCCTATCAAAAAGAAAGTAGCTTAATAAATCATGGAATATTTACAGAAAGATAAACTAGTAAACTAAAGTTATCCCTAACATGTATAATACTCCGAAGGCCTTATCAATTAAGAAAACTACCTTCCTACCCATGTCCCGGTTTTCTGTTGTAGTATTCAGAGCAATGTTTTCCAAGTGTGGCCTCTAGATCAACAGCATTATCTAGGAATTTGTTAAAAATGTAAATTCTGAGGTCGTATGCTAGTTCTCAAGCTTCAGAGTGCCACCACAATCACCTGTTAAAACAGTCTAGGTCCTGTTCCTAGAATAACTGACACAGCAGGTCGAGTAGAGCCTGAGAATCTGTATTTCTAGCAAGTTTCTAGGTGAAGTGGGTACTGCAGTATGGGGATCACTGAAGGTAAGTGACACAGAGTTTCACTCTATGCTGAGACCAAAGCATCTAATATAGAATATGATTGCTTCAAAAAGTTCCAGAGAACCATGTTTAAACTATGTTCACTGTGAACTTCAGCAGTTATTAAATTCATTGTACCTATTTTTTTTTTAATACCCTCATGGCGTATTCTGTAATTTTTTTTTTAAAAAGATTTATTTATTTATTCATACAGAACTGGGGTACAGGCCAGAGATGCAGAGGGTGAAAGGATTCACCAGAGACAGAGCAGGAAGCAGAACAGGCAGATCGATGAAGTCCACTGCTGAGGGGAGCAGCGGGCGGGCCAGGAGAGGTCTGCCACGCCATGTGGTCACCTCCGGGGCAGGCGGGGATCAAACTCATGCGGAAGTGGCTTTAGTTTCTCAGTGCAGTGCCTTAACCCGCTGCGCCACCAGGGAGGGCCGTATTCTGTAATTTTTAGCTGTGCAAAGTCTGGTATTTTTTGCCCAGAAAAAGTTGCATAAACCTTTTGAAGATTGGCAGATATCTGTTAAATGAAAAAGACCCCAGACAGCTCCCACTCTCTTAAATCAAATTGTTGAGAGGGCAGTTTGACAGAACTAGACTCACATACAGTACCAGGAGGAGTCCAGAATAGGCCTGCACAAACTTATTTTGTAAATGGGCAGATAACTATTTAGGCTTTGCAGTCCATAAGGTGTGCTCCAATAAAACTTTATTTACAAAATCAGGTGATACTGGCCAATTTGCTGGCCCATGTTCTAGAGGCTTAAATTCTAGGTCCAGTTTCATCCTTAATACACTCTATGACGTTTGCAGGCAATTCATTTATTTTCTCATTAGGTTTCCTTATCACCTGCAAAATACAGCTTTTTACTACTGAGTTTACTTAAGAAGGTCAAATGAGATAGTCAAACAGAAAAGCTGAAAAGGTACCAAAGGAAGATTCCTCTGTCAATGACCGCTACTTAGTACCTTTATCAAGTTAGCGGGCCTATAGGAACTATTAGGTATGGCAAAAGGAAAGAGCATGCCAGGTTAGGGAATCCAAGAGAAAAACATACATACTGTAAAAACATACATTTGGGAACAACCCTAAAGGGAATGGAGACAATGTAACGTGTTAGTGTCAAAGATCAACTTGAAGGTCACCTTGAATAAGTTACCCCCATTTTGGCTCAGTAGCTTTTAAAGAGCAAGAGGCTTTGATGGCCACAGGTCTTTCTTCACCTAAAATTTTGACACCAACCTTCTAATTTTCCTTTTAATAATTCACAGTGCACTAGTAGATGTTTTAAAAGTGAATACAAACAGAATATTTGCTACTGAAAAGATAAATCGACATGAGGACGCTAATAGTATAACGTATATATAAAAGAATATATTATAAAATCCTATCACGAAGGTCACTTACTGAAAGAAAACAGAGCTGCAAAAGCAGAATATGGCTCTGATTGAGAGTCAGTGTTCTGTCCATTATATGCAGAAAATGAAATAAAAATAACAGAGTCAATTAACTTCAGGTAGCCAAGGAAGAGGATTTTAATTTATGAAATGAGTTCAAATTCTGTTTTGCCATTTTATAAAGATGAAGAGTGATTTTTTTTTTGGGGGGGGAGGGTTAATTTTCTCACCTTTAAAACAGATTAATAATAAATACCTCAGAGGATTAGTTTTTTTTTTGAGTTTTGTTTTTATTTTTAAATATCTATTTATTACCTCATCCTTTGATTTTGTACATTGTATTTCCCCATGAAACTCCCACCACCAATTCACCTGTGCACCATCACCATAGTCTCTTGTGCTCTTCCCACTCCTGTCCTCCCCCACAGAATGTCTCTGATCTATAGATGCCTGATGATTTACATTATAGTTACTTTTTTCCCCCTGTTGCCTTATTTGTTTCCTCTACATTCCTCCTATTACATTCCTCCTATTACCTTTCAATATTTTTTTTCTTTCTGGCTTATTTCACTGAACATAATCCCTTCCAGCTCCAGCCACGTTGCTGCAAAGGGCATGCACTTATCCTTTTTGTTTGCCGAGTATTATTCCTTTGTATTAATATACCACATCTTCTTGATTCAGTCATCTATTTTTGGGCATTTGGGTTATTTTCATAGCTTACCTATTGTAAATTATGCTGTAATAAACATAGGGGTGCAGGTGTCCTTTGGGTAGAGTCCTAGGAGTTAAACTGGACCATATGGAAGCTCCATTTTTAGTAGCTTGATTATTCTCCACACAGCTTTCCATAGTGGTTGGACCAGTTGGTATTACCACAAGCCGTGTAGGAGAATTCCTTTTTCTCCACATCCTTGCCAACATTTGCTGTTGCTAGTTTTTTAAATATGTGCCATTCTCACTGGTGTAAGGTGGTATCTCATTGTGATTTTGATTTGCATTTCTCTGATTACAAGTGAAACTGAGTATTTTTTCATGTCTGTTGGCCATTTGCATTTCTTCTTTGGAAAAGTGACTTCAGCTCTTCTGTCCATTTTTTGACTTGGGTTGTTTACTGTTTTTGCTGAACCTTGTTAGCTCTCTGTAGATCTGTGACCAGTCCCTTGTTTGTACTGTGTGCAAAAATTTTCTCCCCATTAGTGGGGTGTCTCTTTGTTTTGGCTAATGTCTCTTTTGCTGTACAGCTTTTTAATTTGATGTAGTCCTAGCTGCTTATCTACCCCTTCATTTTCTTTGCTTTAGGTGATTGTGTGTGTGTGTGTTTTAAGATTTATTTGTGCATACAGAACTGGGGTATAGGCCAGAGGTGCAGGGGTGGTGAGAGGCTTCACCAGAGACAGAGTGGCCGAATGATGAAGTACATTGCTGAGAGGAACAGCGGGCGGGTCAGTTGAGGTCTACCTCGCCATGTGGATCACCTCTGGGGTGGGGATCGAACTCATGCTGAAGTGTCTTTAGCTTCTTAGTGTTGTGCTTTAACCTGCTGCACTACCAGGGAGGGCCCAGGAACTGTTATTTTATCATCTTCATTTGAGCCCAATATAGAGCATAACATATAATATATATATATAAAATCTGGTAAATGTTGAATAAATAAACAAATAAATAGCCTGCTTTCCTGCACTACTTGGAGTCCTTCCTTTGCTGGGAAGATTTTTCTGGGAGAGATACACGAACAGTAAGGTGGGGCAGGAGGAAGAGGATTTTCTTCCAATTCAGATAAACCACAGCAGCTCTGAGATCCTACGTGTGCAGATGTCATACCAAAAAGTCAAAAGAACTGTTTTGAGA